ATGCAAGCCATATTGATAGTTTTGAAATTGGAATTTAAGAAGGTGTATTGCATAGTTGACTATCTGTATAGATGTCAAAGAAGTTTGACGTTTGGGCATCCAACCTAGTGAGCCACATTCAATATGAGTAAATCTTAGGTGTATCACTATTATGACTAATGAGAACCATAAGATGTGAAGCTAGAAAAGACTTACTGATTAGTGAATTTGAGGAGATTGGTTCAGTATCTTGATAATGTGTTGGTAAGGAATAAGTATATAGTCATGGCATGACATTAAATAATTCGCTCAGATACCTGGCCTCAGATGTAAACCCCCATGAGAATGGTTCCTGATGTGTACAATGATACCTTACCATACTAAAAGGATTCATGATTTATCCATCTAGGAAAGATTGGGAATGAGGACTTTCAGAAGAAAGCATGTAACTCAAATTGTGTATGAGTAAGAACACAAGCTAGAATTTCTGCGAGATGGAAGAACACAATTGAGATGAATGATTTTGATTAGGAAGTGAAATGTTATCTCCAGATGCGTGACCAAGTTGTGTGACTCTATGAGTAGTATTAGGAAATCACAATTGCATCCTTGATGGGTTAATTTCCTATGGAAGTGTTTTCTCGTTTATGAATCGAAGTTCCTTGATGACATCATGTCGTCAGCTGGTTGGAATGCAGTGTCAGCAAAACCTATGAGTGGGTCATAAATCTATACAGAACTTGAAATTTACATTGCAACAAGAACCAAATATTGTCAGATTAATTTGGACTAAGAACAACCAGTACATGATGATTTTGAATGTTGTATACTCTTATGGTCGTATTTGTGTGACTTCTACGTATCTATCTTTTGGTAGGTGTTATTCCTCTTCTCAAACTTTGCGTGTCGACAAGAAACTTTTCTACTGGTAGGTGTCGGTAAGGTTCTAGTTTTGTTTTGGGATGGTAGGGGCTCAAAGTATAAATATCCTATGAAGGCCCATACAATACCAAATTCCACGTGTTTCACGGTGTTCAAGTTGGGATTGACAGTAGAAAGTAATGCATGTAAGATCGCAATACAATTTTATGGAGGGTCAGAGGGATGAATGCTCTTAAGAATGAAAGTAAGAAAATCTCGTGCCAAGTATGTGATATCTTGTTGGGGTAGTGAGAAGGGATTAAGACATCAAGTTTGTGCATGCTTAGCACGTAGTTTCATGGTTATGGTTTTGGTTAACTCAGTGCAAGAAAGGCAGTTCAGAGAGGCATGCCATATGAGATAAGTGGGGAAATGTTAGAAGATAATCAATGATTGGAAATCTCCAATGAAGAGAAGTTGGTAGTTTAGGTATGTCCAAAAATTGAAATGAAGCAAGTAAGGTGATGACCTGAGGCAGTGATGTAAGAAGTGTTTCTTTCTTTAACTGGAAGAAATTTGGGGACGAATTTCAATTTAGGGGGGGGGGGGGGGGGGAGAATGTCATATCCCGTATACCCTTAAGTACTCTAAATGTTCTCAGTTGGGACTAATAGAGTAATCAGTGAACTCAGAAGAGATAAATCCTTATTAAAAGAGACAAACTTTTATTAATTAATACCCAAAGTAACATTTTAGTAACATTAATAATTGGTTATTTGCTCTATTAGAAGAAATTATTCTTGAGAAAATATCAACTGGGATATTTCTTTACTAACTTTTCTTTTCTAACACTCATTTTTCCTTCTTGCTACCCACCTTTCCACCACTTATTCCAACCAACCCTTTTCCATTATTTCCTTATCACTGGACAAACATAAGGAATGAGACAAGCATAGAAAGAAAAGTTGGTAACATGATAAAGGAAAAAGAAACTTAGAGAAAGAAGAGAAAAAAGAGAGGAAAGGAGAAAGAATGGAAGAAGAAGAAAGCCATGGAATACATCATCATCATCATTAACACCATGGTTCCATCTCATTAATCTTCACCAAAATTCATCATCTTCATCTATCAAAGGTAAGTTCCTAATTAGTTTTTATCTTGGGGGAAAAATTCATGACTTGGGAGGTTAGGGTTTTGTGTTAAATCCATGATTGATATGTTGTTAATGATAAATCTTGTCATGGTTGATGTTGTTATGATAAGCTAGGATATTATATCGTGTTGGTGTTGATTGTTGAATTATGACCTTGATCTTTGAAGTTATGGATGTTAATCATGTGTACTTGTGTTAGTGTGTGTGCCTGTTGGTATGGGTTAGAATGGTCAAGTATGGAGTTTGATGTGGTTAAAAGATGAATTTTGAATAAATAACATAGAACAATCGATTACACTGCAGAACCAATCGTGTGGTTCATGTTACAGTGAAGAAAACGTTGAATTTTTATGATAATGATCAATTGGCTACAATGCTAGATCGATTTTTCTAATGTAGATAGTGAAATTTTGGACAGAAGGTTCATACAATCGATTGGTCCTTGTCAACAATTGATTGCTTCAACTATTTTCACTATAAAATGAGTTTCGTAAATTCATTTTGGATGTAGCTGGAGGCGTTGGAAAGCTCTTTCAATGCTTTATTAGATAGTGAACTTAAAATGTAACTATACATCAATGATTGATAGGATAATGGTGATAAATAATATGTGAAATATGATGAAGTTTGAGTGTGCCCCAAATTCTTCAAAGCAATGGTTCATTCTCTATTAATTTATATTGCAAAACATCAAATGTATTGAGAAATTAGATCATCTTTATTACCGTCATCATAAAAGTCTTCATCATTGATTAAAATAATGATGGTGATAGCGATGATGATGATTTAGAATTAGTCAACATATTGATGTTTTGCAAAATAAACTAGGAATGATCCATTGCTTTGAGGAATTTGGGACATTGAATCAAATACTACGTGTTAAGAGTGCATTTTGATCTAAGGATGAACTTAGGTAAGGGTTTCAACTCTGGTCTGACAACGGGAGAATTTACAAATACTATGGCGCTTAAATAAGTGATTATCGTAAGTGAAACATTTTTAAAGTTAAAATAGTGTACTTAGATCTAAGGCCTTCATTAGACTTTTATAGTAAGGTTCTGGGATTTCCAAAGAACTAAAACTTATGTTTGTTACAACTATATGAGATGAAAACTATTAAAAGATTTTTGGAAATATGATGTAACAACTCTTTACGTTTTGACAATTTAAATCAGGTGTTCTTTCATCTTAAAGTCCGCCTAACAAGATTTTGTATCGTATTTTATGGTATATTCATACAACATGAGACTGTATATCCTCGACCAAATGGATTTTGACCATACAACATGCCTGCCTACCGATGGGTTACTAAAATTTGATGACATTTTGAGGGTAGGCTTGATTGTAGACTAGTGACTACTAGATGTGAAGAATGAAAAGTTTTGAACATGTCATACTATCTCTTATGTTAGGGAACATATTCTCTGCATCGTAATTTTTTTGCAATGAAATCTAACCCTCAACTTATGTTTATTTTATATAAGGGTTAATAGTTAATTTGTTCCCTGCCATATGAGCGGGTATTGAAAAAAAACCCGTAAATTTTTTTATAGATTTCCACCCTAACATTTCAAGATTCCATTGTTTTGATCCCTCTTAAAATCTAGTCAGTAGAATCTTTGACATAACAACATTTTTTTAAATTATTTTTATTATGTAGATGACTTACTTGACATTTTTATATTATTATTTATTTTTTAAATTCTACGTGGCATCTTTTATTATTATTTTATTATTTTGGTGTTAAACAAAGTTTCATTGTTTTCACCCTTCTTAAAATTTAGTCAGCACAATTGTTGACATGACGATATTTTTTTAATTTATTACTATTATTTTTAATTATGTAGATGACTTAATTAACATTTATTATTATTATTATTTATTTTTAAAATTTTATGTGATATTTTTTATTATTATTTTATCGTTTTAGTGTTAAATGTTAAAATTCAAAAATATAGTTTTTGGAGGTGTTGAACCAATAATATTTTGTCAAAAACAACAACACCTCACCATTAGGCTGTCCGTATCTCTTGTTTAAAAATTTGCATCAAAATTATATATTATTAGTTAACGTTAATTATTAATAAAATGTTAATGTTACTATTATTAAATTTAAAGACCATGGAATTTATACTTTTCATTATGGAACCAATGTTTGAAATAAACAAACATTTTTATTATTATCTTTTGTATTTTAATACACTGCATGCTGAATGACCATCTACTAATTTTCTTTCTATTGGCCCTTTTTTTCATTAAACTTGCGATTTTCTACTAATCTTTTCGTATTTTGATAGATTGTTTATTTGTCGATGTGTTAAATTAAATTAACATAAAAGTATTAACTTAGATTATCTTCCACAAATTCTAAATTTCTTCAATTAGGGCCACAAGAGATAATAAATTTCTCACCCTCCTTAACAAACTTGACAAGTGTTATCCATGTGACATGTTATTAGGTTCAAGCACTTTATATATTTGTAAGAAACCATTTTATTTATTTATTTTGTTTTATGGGATGATTGAAAATGAAACTTGTATTCTAAGCCAATGCTTTCATGTGACTTAAAAGCTAAACGACCAAAAAAGCTGGATCTCTTAGGTTAGTGTTATACATGTCTTTGTCCTCATTTGTGTAGCACATGTCCTACAACATTGCTAAAATTGGCTATAATTGAGCAACAAAAATAAAAATTGCCAAGAGACATTTTTTCGAAACAGTGTCTGACACCGATACTGATACGTCGATATAAATAATAATTTAAAAAATAAATTAATTAAATATAATCAGAAATATTAGTGTCGATTTCGGAAAAAAAAATCAGAGGTATCAATCTAATTTATATTTATTTAGCTATGTGTACAACAATTGTTGAAACTTGACATAGGTATTAATAACATTTTATATGACAACATAATAATGACAGAACATAAAATAAGAGTTCCTTCATTCTACTTCAACTTGTCTTTACCTCAATCTGCTGAAGATGGAATTTTGTATACACAATTATTCATCATTAGCATGAGGATTCCAAATCTCTGCATTTTTCACCTTAGATACACTTTCCAACACTTCAAATGGAAGAATATCACCCATAACAACAACCGTTTTAGTTTCTAGATCCACCTTGTACGAACTAACTCCTGTCGTCACAAATTCAGGTATTCAGTATATCAATGATTAATAGTCAATACAATAACAAAAAAGGTATTTATATTTTTAAATTCTAAATTATCAACCTTGAAATCAAGAAGTTAATATGTTACCTTCTAATTTTGAGATATGTTTCTCAACTTTTCTTGCACATCCATGACAATGCATTGACACCCTCAATATAACTATCTGCATATTTTTTGATATAAGATAACATATTAAATTATTAACTCATAAAAACTATATAACATATTGACTCTATATAAAAACTATATAGTATAATAATTGCAAACATCAAAGAAGGACTCACCTGTGGTTTCAATTGAAAAGCCAAAGTTTGTTTACCAGCTACAACATCTTTCAATCTTAGTTTATGATCACTTTCACTACTAATCAAAGACTTTGTCTCAAGTTCATCTTCTAATTCAGAAATGTTCATGCAGAAACAAGTGTTAGAACAAGAAGAAAGACAAAAATTTCCCAACATCCTCCTTAGCTTTCCCATTCCAATGTCTTGAAAAATTGACAAGCTTTTTGATAGAACCAATTATGTTATAATAACAAGGTGGAGAGAGACATGAAGAGAGTGTGGAAGCAAAGATTATTGGGGAAGGAAAAAGAAACACATAACTCAATAAAGTTTATAAAGAATATTAAATAGTAATAATAGAATATGTGGTTAATAGTTTGTCATGTGATGAACCACTAAACACAAAACACAAGACCAAATTCAAGCAAGGATCAACTTGATTGAATGGTTTAGATCTAGTTAAAAGAGGATAAACTTGACTCATGGTTATGGAATTAAGAAATATGTATGTAGATCTATAAATACTCCAAATTAATGAACTATAATTAAGCATGGAGAAGAGGTGTCATATAAAATTATATTGTGCCACATATTCTTAAAAGTTCATAATATTATGATTGGTTCTATCAAAAGTTAATATATTGATGCACGTTTTCATATATAAATAAGTTTAATCGTGATTTATCTTAATCGAACAATAGTAAAAATCATTTGAATTGAATTGAAATGATCAATTTATTTATGATCGAATTAGATTAAAATTATTAGTTTTTGTATATCAGTCCAGAATTTTTAACTCTATCAGTTTTTTTTCAAACCGAATTATTTGCTTAAAATGCCAAATTATTATTCTTTTTTTGAAAATTTTTAATAATTTTTTTAATATGCCTTTTTCGTTTTCAATTTTGATTATATTCGATTTTGATTTCAATTTGAACAATTTAAATATTATAATTCGATTCAGTAATGAGAGATAACCATTAATTATTTTAACTTTAATTCAATTCGTATAAAAATTTGATTTTTTTAAGAGTACTGTAAATACTAGTGCATAGTGGACAACATAGATTAGGTGAATTTATTTACATATACTTAATTAGAATTAAGTATTCCTATAATTTTGTAAGTATATTATCAACAAAAAGAAAAGGTTAAGAGAAAAATGACAGATTAGTAGAATAAGTAATTGAGTGAAGCACATTAGTTTAAGCCATGAATGGAATTGTGTGTGGTAATATTTGTCTTCACCTTATAATATATGATAGTGGAAAATGGGACAGGTGGTTATGCATTATTGGATGCAATGAGATAATAATGGTTTTCCAAATTATTGAATCATTGAATAATTGTGCTAAATGAAGGTTCTTTTATCTACACAGGTTGGTCCATGTGACAACCTTTCAATGGTGGTGGAATAAGAATTTGAAAAACAAATGCTAAGAGTAAGTCATGTCAGGTTGAATGACAGTCACATGAGATAAATAAATTAAAGTATAGGAAAATAGTTAGTGGTATATGGTGCTTATAATATTGTATCAACTTACCGGTGAGTGAAAATAATAAATTCTTATAATATTTGAATTTTAATTAAAATGATGCATTTTTAATGTCTAATATGTTGTGAGCGGGGATGGCAAAATGAGTCATGGTTTGTTAGGCTAACTCGCGCATCCATTAAAAATAGTGGATTGGGTTGAGATTTTAAGTCTGCCGCTCACTAAAGTCTGTTCCGCTAAAGACTGTCATCTGTCAAAACCCGTCCTGCCAAAATCCGCCGTTTGCGAAAATCCGTCGCACCTATTCGTTCAGCTTGTCCTACCTTAAATTCATCATTTTTTAGTTAATTCTAATAATTTCAATTCTTAATGGTTTTATTTTAATATATACAATATTTTTTGAAGTAAAATTTGTTAAAAAAATGTTTTATAAAAATTGTTCTAAAAAAAATAAGTAAAAAATCTAATTGAAATGTAAAAACAAACTTATTAATCTATTAAAAAAATGAAGAAAAAAAAAATGAAAAAGTAGGTGTGCAAGTTCGCCATCCGCCAACCTGTCATCTTAGCGGGACGAGTTAGATTTTTATGCATATTTCAACTTAGCGGGTTTGTCCACTCCGTTTTTTTTTTGCAGGCTTAAGGCGAGGTGGACGACCCGTTTTACCATCTTTAGTTGTGAGTAAGATTATAGTAGAAAAATTTATGAAAATTAAAGTATAACATCAACTTTGTATCCAAATCAAACAAAAAGAGGAGTATGATTCAAACTAAGGGTGGTTCGTGGTTCAAGAAGTGAACTGATCCAAACCATATTAATAGTTTAGTACAGTTTTTACAAACCATTTTAACAAAAATTAGTTAATCTTTTAAATCAGTTATAATTAAGTTTAGAACCAATTTTAAACCGGTTCATAGTTTAAAACCAGTTTAATTTATTTTAACTAGTTTAAAATCAAAATTTTTTTAAAGAACTCAATTATTTTTGAATCAAATTGCAAACTAGGTTTCGTATATATTTTAAAAACCAATTTTTTGTGATTATTTTTAATAAAATTGAATTCAAATTTGATTTATTTTTTTTAAAAAAAAAGTATAAATAGCAGTTTTTTCAAAGAAAATAAATTGGTTTAAAAAACAATTTTTTTTTAAAACATTGATTGATTTGCTTTAAAAAAAGTAAGTGATTAAAAATTGGATTTGTTTTAAAAATTTTATTGATGATTTTGAATTTAAATAAAAACCAACTTATTTTTAATGGAATTGCACGAACAAGATCGAAGTAGAGAATATGTTGTTGTTACTCCTTGTAACGAGAAAAGTTGTATTTAATGTTGTAGTCGAAAGCAAGGTGAAATCGAAATCAAGACAGTAAAAATAAAAAAGTCTAATGCAAGTTGTAATAAATTGTAACTAAAAATAATTGAAAAATATTAAAATATTGTAATTAAAATATTTATGATAGAAAGAGTTTATAACAATTTGAATTGGTTTTAAATTCAATTAAGTTAATTGAATTTGTTAAAATAAATAATTCAATTCAATAATCATTTAAATGATTTAAATTTTTTATGATTCAATTCAACTCATATTAAATATTTAGTTCGGTTGACCAAATTTTTAAACACTTCTAATTGGAAGTTACATGTTAATGATCATAATTCCAAGTAGGTTATTATAAATTCATATATTGTTTCTACACGTTTAACAAGTGAATTGATTTAAATGGGATGTTGCATGTTACATGTTTTATTAGAGTCCATTTTGAGAAGTGTGTCATATATGATTTTCGGTAAATAGATAATTAAAAATATTTGAAATTTTGACGATAATTGAATTTGTTATCTTAGATATAAATTTAAGGGGAAAATATTTGACGTGGTCGAATATAAAAATTGTTTGATAAAATACATATAAATGAAAGAAAAAAAAAGGTGATGAAATATTTTTTATATTGATTTAATTGAAATATATTGACAGTGTAAATGTCAGTTAATCATAATCGTTGAATGTTAAAAGAAGTTTAATTTTTATTTTAATTATTAATAAAAATTTGCAAAAATTTTAGAAGGTAGCATATATCTCAAGAAGAAAAGTTTCTTTAGAAGGGAATTTAAATGGGGCTATTCAGTGTGTCAAACACGAGGGAACATTTTATATTATGGGTTTTTTTAAGAGCAATATATTTTTGTGAGAGATACATCACATACTCACCCAAAACATTAACGTGACAGATGTGTGGGTTCTCCAACTTATAAATGCTCAAGTCTTCACATTCCTAACCAATGTGGGACTTCCCCATGTTGGGGGAGTTTTTTTTCCACTAGGGAGCATTAAACATCGTGGGACTTCCTTTCTAGAGCAACACCTTTGTGAGAGACACATCACATATTCACCCAAAATCTTAAGGTGATAAGTCTGTAGGTTCTCCCACTTATAAATGTTCAAGTCTCCACATTTATATCCAATGTGAGACTATTACTCATACTACTTACACTTGTTATACTCAACACTCCCCCTCAAATGTGAGTCTATCCACAATGTTCCTCCTTAAGCGGAAGCTCTTTTCATCATTTTCATTCATACATACTTGTATCATTGTTGACACTCTTCAACGGGACACTCAACCCACCACCTGTGGGGATACTTTTGATACAAGTGAGTTGATCCTTCACTCAAACCAAAGGCTATGATAGCACTGTTGGGGGAATTTTTCACTATGGAGCATTGAGCATCATGGGACTTCCTTTCTAGAGTAACACCTTTGTGAGAGACACACCATATATTCATCCAAAACCTTAAGGTGATAGGTGTGTGAGTTCTCCTACTCATAAATACTCAAGCCTTCATATTCCTATCCAATGTGGGACTATTACCCATACTACTCACACTTGCTATACTCAACACCAACACTACTCACACTTGTAATTTTTTTCCAAGAATAAGAAGCATAGTAAGAGGGTTTGAAAGCGTGCATGGGGTTTTGGTCTAAAGGAGGTGAATGCAGAGAGTAAATCTATCTTGAATTTTTTGTCGGATTTGGATCTTACTATAGCAAATAAATGGTTTAGGAAAAGAGATAAACATTTTATCACATATAAAAGAGGAGTGACATGTTCTCGGATATATTTCTTTTTTATCAGGAAGTCAGATAGGAAAATTTGCTTGGAATATAAAGTTATTTTGGGAGAGAGCTTGACTATACAACATAAAGTATTAGTTATAGATGTAAGAATCAAGGAGAGAATTGTAATGCTAAAAAAGTATAAGTGTGTGTTCCTTTTGCAAGCCCAGAGGGCTCAGAGGCCTTAGTAGGTTTGTAACAATTTTTTGTGTTTAGGGTTTTCCTGCGGTGGTGAGAAGTCCTATAAGGTGGTGTTTTACGGTGATTTTGGGGTCTTGCCCATGTGAGGTGAGGGACCTTATTGATGGACGGTGAGCTTATGTATAAGCTTATGAGGGAAATGAACGTAGGAGCTACGATCTTGCTAAGCGTTACTTTTTACAGTGTAATGATCTGTCCTTTATCCGCTAAGGGAGATGTATTTATAGAGTTAATGCCCACTTAGTCAATGGTGGACCTTATAATTCATATTTCCAAGGAAGTCATGGGCCATTTAATAACCCTGATTTTTCTCTACCCCAAAAACGTCTTTTCCAACATTTCCCATGACGAGGTGATAAAGAGATTTTAGGGGC